TGGCGAGCTTGAGGGCAGCTCCAGGAAGCATTTAGGATTCTCGTCGTACCCATGTCAACCACGAACATTCGCGCTTCTGCCCATCTGGAACAGCGAAAAGCCTAGCCAATGACACTGCAAGATTCAAGAAGATGTTCACACGTCTTGCGTTGCTTGTGAGGACTCGGAGATCAATGACAGTCGACCTTTTGGGATATTGAAACATTTACAGCAATCGCACGACGTCGAAATTTACTACATTAACGGTCCGCCCCACTACGAGTTCGTACCTAATTGCTGGGCTCTCCCACCTCATGTGAGTGACAATGGCTGCGCGAAGTACAGCAAATGACAGGCCGGCATTGGGGTCTCAGGATTTAGAGCATGCAAGCTTTACGATGTACTTGCTAGCTTCAGCCAGCTGATAGGTCATTGCGATGGATGCAACCTTCGGGAAGGTGGGACCAATGATGACGCAGGATTTCTCGCCTTGCATTAGCTGCACATCAATCATTCGACAAGCCGGTCAAAATTCTCTCCGTTGGAAGCAACCTGCATGGGTGTGATATTTCCCGCATACAGGTGCATGAAAAAGTTTCAACTGAACCAGTGTCCTTGCTGGTAGCACGGGAAATCGCCGCCTCCCACAGGATTTATTGCACACTAAGCGCCAGCGGTCAAAACCGACTCTACCGATGTTCAACATGCTGTTATCGCCTGACGGTATCCTGCCCCGAGGACGATCCTGCCAAGATTGCTGGTAGCGCATTTTGCAAGAGATGGTGGTCAGCACCTGTGAGAATTGGGCTGGCGAAGCTAGACTTTAAAGGGCCTAGAAAGGAAGGTCCGAAAAGTCTCACGTCACGCTGACAACAAGCATGCACTATACTGTGCTGATTGTTCAAGACAGCTCTTGCAGTGCCGGAGACTTGATGGGCAGAATTTGATGGAAGAAAATAACAGTGGCATAAGTGGTCTTGGCACCGGTTCTCATTAAGTTGAGATGGAATAGGTTGATACAGGCTTTCGATAGATTGACACATCTCATCAATCCTCCATATAATATCCATACATCTATCAAGGCTCCCACACCGTCACAGATCGGAGTCAGTACTCTACTGTTGCGCAACATTTGACCTTAGAGCAAACACTGGATAGAAGCATGATAAAAAGAACAACATCACCGTCACTTAGCACGTATGTTAACCATCTGTTGGTCTCTGATCTCGAGTTTCTGATTTCAACAAATGGCGAGAATGGGAAAGAAAGTGACAGCCAAGCCTAGCGAGCTAAGCCTCTTCGAACTCTTTCTACAGCTGCCAGCGGAGATCGTGTGAGTATCTACGAATAAGCTTTTAGCGAAGGTGAGCAAGTTGTCATCGGCGGTGAACAAAATTCAACTCAGAACAAAACACAGGACTTCTCAAAGTCCGCCGCCTAGTCAACAAAGAAGCAGATCTCATCTGTTGCAGACGGAGTAATCTTCGCTTCCCCTACGCCAAATCCTGTTCAGTATGGCTCGTCCACACAGGTGTAGATTGTCGACGTCAACTTCGCCGTATCGGTTGCTAGCTTCTGACCGACAGGTCTTCGAGTCGTGCCCTCGGCGCACTTGCTGCATGTGCGGATCTGGAGATACTGGAGTGGGGCATGAGCGCTCATACAGTGTATCTGATGAGACACGGTTCTCTTGGAACTCTACATGGCTTTGAGACGGCAAAAGCAAGAAAATATTGTACCGACTGGTCGTGGCTTGACGGCCTTGCTAATGACTTTGAAAGATGGAACGAAGGTGAGGTTATGCCTGCGGTGAAGCCAATGCTGGCGCAATTGAGGACGCTTTGTCCGGCGGGGTCATCCGGAATGAAAGAGGACGAAAATTACGGTTGTGGTGAGGTTGAGTTGGGGGCGCTTGGAGGGGAGGATGAGGCTTGACTGGGCGATGGGGGAGACGACGTTGGGGATGCGGGGATGTGGAAGGCTGGAGGAGTTAGAGGATTGCTGTTGCTGTTGCATCTGGAGAATTGGAGAAAATTGTCATGGGAGATTGAGATCACGGCTTTTTGTCGGGGTGTCTCTGGCATAGTGGGCCAATTCAGAAGAGAATTTCCCTAGATGCTGTGCATGAGATTTGTTATCGGCAGAAGTTAAAGATGGGATACAATACAGTCACTACAGTAGCAAGTTTCTCAATCCAGAAGTACGAGTGCTGAAGAGCTTCAGTACTAAATGATCGAATATCATTTCCCCATCTAGTCACTCTTTGAGCAAACCAGATTCTTGTTACGGGTTTCTAGAATTATGCATAATCCTGGCACATGTGTCTGTGCATGAACAAGCCAGGTTGTGGTAGTCAATTCAGTATTAATGATTCAGAAGATGTCATGACGTCTCTTGTCTCATTCTTTGGTCTCTAGAAAAAAGCTTTAAGCAAGAAAACTAGAATGACGGCGCAGCCAAGCAAAGGCTTTTTGCATCTGCCCCCCAAGGTGCGTATGATGGCCTGGAAGCACGCCCTTCACGAGAAAGATGAACATCTCTGCATCGACCAGCGTCCAAGACTGAAGGAAGGGCTCCTGAGTTTCTGCCAATTGGTGTGTCGAGGAGCAGTCCAGGTCTATTACTCATTAAACAGCTTCCGCTTCAAGAAGCCGGAAACTGCATTCGCATGGCTGCAGGCCAATGACGGCAAAAAGATGCAGCACACCCAGACAATTAAATGCGTGCTCGACAACTTGATTCACTCGGCGAGTATCTCGTGGTTGCTAGCTGAGTGCGCAACTCTGCGTCCGTGGAAACTGCCGGCGAGTGTAGACCATCTTCTCGCGTTTTCCGAGGCAGGGGTCTATGACTTTCTGCATGGGTTTATCCGCGTTTGAGAGCAGAGGGTTTGTAGATCGTCGGACGGATCGGTACGTGTTGGGTCCAGAATATTTTGTGGCTATGGTGGAGGACTTGGCCAACCAGTTGAACTCCCGCTGCCCGGAACGCTGTGGACAGCATACCCATGTTGGTGATGTAGAGCTTGAGGTTTTGACTGAGAGGTATGATCGCCCGGTTGCAACGATCGAAAGCTGAGATGGATAGTACGTTCAGCTGCAGATTGTAATGGCATTCCTGCGCCTTGGGTTCGAGAGACAGAGGTAACAAGCAGTCAAGTGTTGATGCATTCAGCCACTGATTTCATCCTCTTTCTCCCGAGCCCTCCATGACTGCCTTGGCCACTTCCCAACTTTTAGGGTCTTCGTTCAAATCCCTCCAGATGTGGCCTGCTGATGGAGCAGCCCGCACACTCCTGTACATCATCCTTTGGGGTGCTGGCTCATGCTTCTCTCTAGTATGCTCCTCGTGCATTTTGGCGGTTGGCGTACCCTCGTCAGTGGATGTAGTTGGTTGGGAGTTAAGGTTGCTGTTGGGTTGGCCTGACTGGGGCGTGAGCGTGAAAACATCTACCACGTCACTACATTGGACATCAGCTATCGTTGACCGGGAGGAAGGGGAATCTGATGGAGCATAGCTTACTCAGACATATCATGACAGATCCCTTCCAGCGCTTCCGTCTCTCGTCGAAGTGATTCTGGATCTGGTTGGTGATAGTGCACTCGATGCTGGCTCTGGCCAGTTGCTCCGTATTGTGAGCGGTAAGGATCGTCGTACAGTAGACGTGATGTTTCGGGATTCTAAGCGCGCAAGGGAGACGAGTCAGTACTAGTGGTATCAAGGAGTAGAAAGAGGTACCTCGACTCCTCGATCCCGCCGGCCGAAGCCAAGACAAGAGGAACAAGCTCCCATGGAATGATGGAATGTAGTGATGTCGTAGCCAGGAGGTTTCAAAGGTCAAGTTGAAGGAGGTTGGACGGTAGGGCTGAAAACCACTAGCGTCATCTGTCAGATGCTACGTACAACTTTCTTCGCTCCTCTTGTTAACAGCCACATCAGGGCATAGTATGCCATCTCCAATGATCAAAGGAAGCGCTACCGTGGACTCAAAATGGAGATAATTAATGCGTTGTCCCTGCAAATTTCTGATGCTTTCGAGTTCCGTCCCTCTTGTAACCAATTAGAAGAGCAAGACCTGTCTTGGGAAAAGTCCTCGATACACTTGTGGCACAGTTCGATGCCCTTACTCTTATGTGGCTTTACCATACATGTACATTCTTCGGGCAAAGCCCCTTAAGCATGTACCATTCCACTCGCTTGGTGACCCACTACCTGATGACGAAATTTCTTTCTCGTCTTATCCTGTAAGGAATCGAGGCTATTCTCCCTGCCTTCTCCTTTTTTTCCTATAAAGTATGACTTCTGCTCTGTACTGCACCGTCTTTTCTACTCACCTCACTCGCTTTTGGCTCCCTTTGCCTGCTATTCATTCTTTAAGCATAGCGGTACGAAGCTTCAAAAGATGCGTTCGCCTTCGTCTTTGGGCTTTATTGTCCTTTTGGTGTATTTCCTTTGCGGCGCGGCCCTGAGTTATCGACTTCCTGTGGACGAGGTCTTTAGGAATGAGCTCCGAAAGAGACTTGTCTGTGAGGAAGGTGATGCTCTACTCTCGTTTCAGCAGTATACTGAGGACTCTGTCCCCTTTTGTAGTACTTACCTAAGCATTGGGATCTCGACTAGTACGGCAACAACAACTGGCAGAACGTTTGCATGCCCCTACCTGATCTCTGTGCCAAAGTGTTGACTAGAAACGCAGCACAGTAACAACGACTACGACCGTTACCACTGGGATAGACGTCGACGCTATAACAGTTCCGACAGCGACAGTCACAACCACAGCTGGCGCAGTGGACAAGCGACAATTCGTTACTCCCGCCTCCGTATTCATCGCAGCGTGTACACTAAGCCCACAACAACAGTCACTACTCTCAACCCTCTCTGATGCTTGCTCATGCCTTACGATCACCCCAAGTGTTTTCGACCAAACGGCCACTGTGACATCTGTATGAGACCCATTGAGTGTTTTCTGCCTGTCATACACTGATACTCGTACATAAGATTAGGACAATAACCGCGATCGACTATTTAGAAGGCACCATTTCTGGCACAGCTTTCGATATCCTTACGACGACATTAATTATGCTCCCTTCGCCAGTAAATGCCACTACTGTGCCAGCCTCAAGTGGCATCGCCCCGTCAAGCACGGTGGTTCCATTGTCCCCTAGCAACACGGCCACAATTCCCTTCCCTTCAATCAGCGCGATCCTTAGGTCGCCCCTCCCAATCTCTAGTGCGTCCCCCGGTTCTGCTACCACCTCGGGAACTGTCGGTTCCTCGGGTGCTCCTGTGGTTTCGATCAACTCCACAGCTCCTGCCTCTAGCGTTTCCCCTGGTATTTCTTCTCCTTCAAGTGCTACAGCAGTCGTTTCAAGCTCTGCTTCAAATGCTCCTGGTGGATCAACAAGCTTGACATCATTCACCGCTACCGCTCCCCCAGTCATTCCTATGAGTGGACCTCCAAGATCGGCACCAATCGTTTTTGGCTCCCCATCAGTGATTCCTATCGGACCTGCCAACTCCACTGTGCCTACGCCTGGAGTTTCTTCGGGTGCTTCTACAGGGTTCTCAGTCTTTTCATCGGGCATTGCCACTGGATCTTCGAACATCACCACACCTACTTCGACCTCATCAGGCTCAAGCCCTACCACGCTACCTCCTCTTGGAGGTGTATGTCCTGTCGAGAACGGTACAGACTACACTACCCATGGCCAGACATTCCTGATTACTTGCTACATCGACTTCCCCGGCCCGTCCAATGAAGGTCTAGACGAACCTGACTTGTACGCTTGTATCAACGAATGCGCCCAAGTCAATCTCGGCTTCTCCGAAAACAATTGCTTCGCCGCATCTTACTTCCCAAATACCCTGAACGACCAGAATTGCTACTTCAAAAACAAGCAAAATAGCCAACATCCTTATACTGACTACTATACTATAAGTGCCGTCCTGATCAGCGGATTACCAAATGTAACGACAAATGCCACAACAAGCGTTAGTCCTACTGTCAGCCCTTCTGGGAGCATTTTGGCCTCCATAAACAGCTCTGTTACCCATACTCTACTCCCGAGCGTCAACGTCACTTCGCTTCCCTCCTTTAGTTCGTCGGTAATGTGAGTCAGTGCTGCTCCATTATACGTGTCTGTGCTGACTATAGTCATAGTGGTGCCTCTTCCGCTCCGTCTGGAATCCCTACGACTTCTGTCAATAGCTCTTCTCCTACGGTGCCTCCTTTCACCCAGCCGAGTGCGAATCGATCTGGACTCCAGAGTTCTATTGCCCCCTCCGGGTCCCATACCCTCTCTTTGAACATTTCGTCGACCGGACTTGCCAGCAGTTCAGCCCCATCTGTAATACCCGCTGTATCTACCACTGCAGCTTCCGGATTGCCCACGATGTCTTCTAACAGTTCGTTGACGGGAGTCCCCACCATCTCGGCTTCATCTGGACTGCGCACAATCTCGTCCAACAGTACCTCGTCTAGCGGATCACCCTCGTCTGGACTCCCTAAGATTTCTTCGAACAGCACAGCTATGGGTACATCTTCCGGATTAGCCGCATCTATTCCCTCGGGGCTACCTACAATCTCATCTAACAGTTCCACACCTACCGTCCCCTCCTTCCCTCTCCCCAGCGTTTCGGATCGATCCGGGTTCCAAGGTTCCACCCCATCTGGGATCTCGAGCGCCAGTGCAAATATCACATCAAGCCCATCTGGATTCCCCACCATCAGTGCCAACGTCACATCTGCACTCCATATACCATCGGGATTTCCGTCTATATCTATCAATATCTCTTCGTCTCACTCATTATCCATACCCATTGCGTCAGACAATAAGACCACCGGTTTGCCTACTTCGACCAAGCTTAGTTCTTCCACCCCATCGGGTTTCCCGACGATTTCTTCGAACGCCACTACACCACTATTCAGTCAGCCCACCAACTCGCTCGGCCGGAACGCTAGCTTCATACCTGCCCCCCAGAATTGTACTGGCTGCGATACCGTAAGTGGAAACTGCCACTCCACGAGCTTGAGGTCTCTGCTGATTGACTTACTTCCTTAGGCAATTGTCACTTCTATTTATACGTCCATCTGGACAACCACCATCGTAGAAACTTCTACGTCTGAAACTGTAGTTACTCACCTTTTCGAAGGTATAGTAACAAGATCACCGGCAACAAGTGCCCCGCATTTGCAGAAGTGAGCGCCGGTGGCGTAGCTGGCATATCGTCTCGCGATCTCCGCGACCGAATGAGTGGCGTTATAGGAAAGCGGCAAGTTTCTCGGTCACGGTTGGAAAATGGGAGGAAAGTTAATCAGCATAGCTTATGTTTTGTCTTCTCTAGAGATGCATGCCTTTTACGATTAGATCATAAAACATCAATAGAAACCCTCAATTACAAGCCTGTCCATTGCATGTATTGTTCAGACTGCCTTCTGCGCTCGTAGTGTAACAGCCGTGGGAGCGCCGTGAGCAAACGAGCTTCTGCGTGAAGCAGTCTCGGCTGGAAGATAAGCCGGAAGTCTTCGTCAAGCTAGTCGGACGCTCTCCTGATCCGTAGCGACGAGGCCGTATTGGAGGAGGATGCAGAAATTTGGAGCAGGTGTGTACGCAAGGCATGTCGAGACCACTCGGTGAGTCCGAGGCATCCAGCACAAATCTTCTCCACGCCATATTATCATTCATACAACTGTAAGAGTCCATGCTACCTTCTAGCGCGTTGCTATTGACAGTGCAACGGCGAGCCTTAGAGATCATAATAAGCTATGGAGGAGTTCGTGAGCTATAAGAGCCCCTGGTAAACGAGGTACCTGGCTACAGGACGGTTGTGTGAATAGAAGGATGAATGGAAAGCAGTAGACACGTCCAACGTTTCGTTGCGGATACCTTGCGTGAAAGTGAACGGACGTTTCGAAGGCTAAGATGCCCGGAACAATGGTAGTCGAATCGAGTATGGATTCTCAAACGAAGGATTACAACGTGCCAGGCCGATCTGGACGCCAAAGATAAATGTGGCCATGCTTCACCCTCGTGACCTGCATCCTAGGATCCTCTGGTGTAAACACTGTGTACGACGAGTCCCTGGCAAGATTCTGATTCTTACACATACCCTTTCAGAGCACGCACCACTGGTGTTCTTCGTCGAGCAGCCGTTCCTCGGTCATCAGACCGTCTTTGGCTTCCACAGCGGATACCTCTTCGCCTCTGCTGTGCTCATAGGCGTTCATAGTCTCTTCATCGGTCGGTATCAACGTCACCCGGCAAATATACTTGATCTGCAAGCTATCAAGTTCTGCATGATCCTCACGCGTTCCAATAATCGCGATTGATTGACTGCCTGGTGTATGTAGAAGCTTCTTGACTGGAGTGTACGAAATGAGTGCGAACTCTTTAGATCGATCCCACGCAGCGACCCCCTTTCCAGTTTCAGACTCTCGGAACCTACTAATGATAAGTCCGTTCGTGTGATGATGGGGAAGAACACAGCACATTGAAGATTCAAAGAACGACCCACAGTCCCAAGCCAGATTTCAGGATAAGAGACGACCAAGCACCCGGTCGGATTCAAGCCTGCATAGGGGACTGCATCGTTCCCATAGTCTGCCATCGCGGTGTTTTTCCGATTCAGGTAGGACGCTTGTGCCCACCCACAGTCTCAGAAGAAATGACTTGTAATGGAACAGTATCTAAGGCTAGAATCGCGGCGAAACAGACGGTTTCAATTGAGAGCCGGTTGGAAGTTCGCTGACTCAGATTGATTGCAGCCATATCGAATCTGGAAGCTGGCGGCACCCGAAAACATAACTCCGGCAGAGAAATCGCACCGACGAGTCCCATCAATGCGATTCTGTGATAGAACCTGCCATTGAAATGGACGTCGATCTTCACGTCCACTAGCAGATCATCACGATGCTGCGGCCCATCGCGCAATTGGCAATCCCGACTTTTCGCGAATATCGACTCTTGAAGAGTCCAGAGCCGGCGCTGCCAGTTGGACATGAACACTCTTGCTGCACGGTTGTTGATATGATCTTGACGAGATGCTCCTTGAATCCACGAGTCGCTTACAAGGACACGAATGCTCGGCAGAAAAGTACAGAAGGATGGAGGCTGGCTTCGATGAAATAGCGCTCACGCAGAAAACATACAAGAACGAGAGCGTGCACAGGGGGATAAATGAAATGAGGGAACAGTGAGGAAACGAGTCCCTATTAACTTTGCAGCCATGCTGAATGCAGTGGACGGCTACTGCGACTTCGTAGGCAAAGACCGCCTCCAGTTCCTCAGGGAGATACCTCTCAGAAGCCTGCACAACTTCTTCCATTGGCTCCTTACGGCTCGACGTAAGTCAATCCGTGAAGCGTCTAGCCTGCAGACGTACTGGAACGTCTTTGGCCTCATCAAAAAAAAGGAAACGGGGCTGGTGTTCATACGGAATCAACATTCATCCTGGCTTACTTCTGCATACGTCAGACAGCGACTGGGCATCGAGTTCGAACTGAGGCAGGAGAAAAAGCAGAAACCTATAATGCGGGCTGAGGACGAGTTGGAATTGCTCAAGACGCCGTGGCTCTCCTATGGGATCGCATTCGATCACGAACGACACCGCATCGCTCTTGGCCTCATCCTGCAGCTCGCGGGCAATACCGGAAACAGGCCCGGTGCCCTGTTAGCTCTGAGGTCCAGATACGTCAAACTCTTCCTGCTCCCCGGTCCAACAGGCGGGGAGCAGCCTCGAGTGCTCATGGAGATCACGTTCCAGTACACGAAAGGGTATCTCGCGGAGAAGGACGCGTAAGTGATGGCCCTCGTGCGGGCAGTAGGTGTGCTGATCCCTCATACGAACACGTTTGGAATTCCCAATGTTCCGTCCGAGCCTTGCCTCCTCCTCTGCCCGCAGGCTTCTGCGGCTCCTGCCCTTACGAGCCCCAAGCAGCTCTTCATGCTGGGGATCGAGCAGGAGACCAGACAGCAGGAAATACCCTGGAAAGATGCCATGGGCGAATTACTAATTCATACCCCGAAAGTATGGATCCTTACTGAATCATACCCCTAATTACCGAATCATACCCCTACACCAAATTTCACCCAGACCCAGATATGGGGTATGGTTCGGTAATTTACTATTGCTTGGGGTATGATTTAGTAAGTTGTCAAAATGATTCAAACTACGAAGGAGACAATCCGCGATCTGGCCTATCTAATCATAGAAGCAAGGGAGTTTCTCCGATCGCGTTTGATAAGAATTCTATCAGTCTAAAAACATCAGACGAAAGCTAAGTGGGTGCAATTTCGACTCCGCGAGGGTCAAACCCGACCACTACTATAGCCCATCAGACTATCGTTATCGATACCCTACTTACTTATCTACTTACTTACTTACTTACTTATTAAATTTTAAGAAAAATATAAATCTAGAGAGAGTCGAATGTTAGAGACGTATAGTAGACTAATTCGTAGCCTACTGATTTTCAGCCCTATATCTCTCACGTATACTTTTAATAATATCTTTAATGATCTATATAGATATAGATATCTAGCTATATCTATAAATAGGCTACTTAAGTAAGCCTTTATAGTAACTTATTAGATTATACCCCAAGCAATGGTAAATTATCGAATCATACCTCATATTTGAGTGAAATTTGGTGTAGGGGTATGATTCGGTAATTTGCCCGGTCATTGATACATTCGACGAGCTCTTACGCTTATGAAGGTGATCAACGCCCGAAGTCCTGAATTCGAAAAGCCTCCCACCGTACGAGTCATCCAGCCGCGTCAGGTGAGTGTGCGCGACCGATAGGACTTTCAAGCCAATAATGCTCTTTTGAGCTATGTTGGCTTCTTTCCTATGGTGACCTCGGGGATGAAATGCATGGCTGCGCCTTCCTTCGCTTCCTTGGCCGCCTCCTGGATCCGTCTTCGATGGGCTGGCCCACCCTTTTGAGGATCGCTATTATCCATTGCGACAATGCTGTATTCCTCCCCAATCATGAATTGCATCTGAGTGAAGAACACTCGAACTTCGGGACTTATCGGGTAGCGACTGTAGGAAACATCTTGGAACCCTTGCTTCGCGAAACTGTCTGGAAGCCTGGGAGGCCAACTGTAGAATGGGCATCAGCGACTGGAGATTCATGAAATACACTGCATCAACTATCCTGGCCGGCCTTACCCGTATGGCACGGCGTTCCTGGCGTGTTCGACCAAAAACTGTATCTCTCCTGTCTTCATGCCTGGCTTGATGGACTCTACCGTTATAGTTGCAAGACTATGTTCAGACCATTGGAGGTAGCCACCCGGTTCTATACGTGAGAAAAATTGAAGAAGTCAGCTTTATCAGGTGCGAGAGAGTCTACGTGCAAAATTCAAAGGCTACCAACTCAACATGTCCATGAGATTTTTCAAGATAGGCAACGGATCGTCGCTTTTCACGACAGTGATGAACAAGCGAACATGGACGACATCGTATTTGCCTTTAAGCTCTTCAGGAATTGGCTTGTGTATATCCAGAGTCTTGAGCGATATATTCGCTGGTAGCCATTCTTTGGGGGGGTACTGGTCGGAAGAGACGTCGAAACCATCAAGGCAGGATAAGGGCAACTGGCGGTTGAGATCTATAAGCCAGATTCTAGCGTGGTCAGGTCAGAAATATATCATGAACGGGTGAAGCGTGCATACCCTGTGCCCGTGCCAACATCAGCTATTTTAAAGTCTTTGCTATCTTGGACCGGTATATCTGGATGGATGTTGTATCCCACGGCGTCTTTCCAAAGATAGTGTTGGAGGTTTAATCTCGATTGATGTTAGTCCCGAAGGCCACATTCGAGAACATCCCACTGTACCTTGAAGACGATGAAAAGCTCCGTCCAAGACAGTATCCATCGACGTCGTAAGATGTCCTTGGGGTCGAAGACATTGTAAGCCGTAAGCCGTGGAAGAAGGTCGCAACAAGAACAGCAAAATTTTTGGAGAATATCTTAAGATGCGTCCATACCAGTAGGTAGACAATTGCAACGCTGTCTGACAAGATGGGTTATTATGCTGATCTAGTGCAGGTTAGCGTCTCCAGCGTCGTATATAGGGACCTACAGTATGATGTCATGAAATTGTGACCGACTGGGTCTAATATAGTATCACATGTCACCTTACTAGCGGCTTTTTGTGGGAGCCAAGTAGGGATGCGTAATGACTGATATTTGACCTCTAGTCTCAGTAATTCAGACTCACGGCTAGCCGGGGTACCTATGGCCAGCCCTACACTCGTGCCTCGCTTCGGGGGCCAATCATATCGCAGGCTCATTACGGTATACCCCTTTCTTAGAGTCTAAGTAGGAAACCCCCGAATCGCTATATAAATCGTTAATTTGTATAGACCCACCGCAATAATCACCCCATTATCGAAAAATCGCGACTTTCTTTATTTTTCTAATTATTACTATATAGTCTTTTAATATTAATTAAGAAGCTAATAAATCTTTCGAGGTCGCTAAATAAGTATATAAACTTTTTATTATAATTGAATAGCTCGTTATTATCGTATAAGCTTATTTAAATACGCGTTCTTTATTAACGATTATAGTATCTATCTTTAGCTAATTACTCTTTAATAATTAAATTTTAGATGATAGCGTATTATATTTAATATTATTAAAAGATTATATAACGAGTCGAATATAATAATTAAATTATAAATTTATATTATAGCCTAATTAAGCTTAGCGTATTAAGGCCTTTCGATCTTTCTATCTTATTATAAAACTTATATTTATAATAATTCTATATAGATAGTATTCTCTTTATACTATAATATAGAGTTATTATATATACTATTAAATCTCTAATATAATATTATCTATCTTTCTTCTAAAGTAATAGCGATTTATTTATTAATTATATTAAATATATAATAATAATAAAAGTATATTATTAAGAAGTTAGTAGTTATAATTAAAGAAGCTTATTATTTAAAAAATTATTTAAAAGAAAATCTTTTATTTATATAAAGACTAATTTAATTAGATTAAATAAGAATTTAAAAAAAATAGATATCTTTAATATATTAAAAGAAATAGACTTTAGATTAAATCTTTTTTATACTCTTATTAATTTAATATTAATTATAAATTTCTTAATCTCAAATTTAGATAATATTTAAAATTAAATTATTATAAGTAAGTTATAAATACGTTATTATTTAAAAGAACTTAAGAACTTCGATAAGAAGATCTTAAATATTAATAAAGCTAGATCGTTCGCACGATATAAGAGAAAGCGTTTTATTATTAAAAGATATATTATTAAATTTAATTTAAATTATATCGAAGTATAATTTATAAATATTATTAAAAAAGAGTTAATTATAATCTTTATTTTTATTATTAACTTATAAGATTTTATAAAAAGCGCTATCGAAATTTCTAATATTTAATATAATAGATTAAAGATATTAATAGAAAGCTTTCGAATTACTAATTATAATATTAAAATACTTTAATAATAAAATAAAGAATTTAATTATAATATTATTTAAACTAAGATAAAGATATTAATAATTATTATTTAGCTAAATAATAATAATAACTAATTATCTTATAAGCGAGAAATTAATAATAGACTTCGAGATTTATATAATAGATATCGTATTAATATTATAGAACTTATTAAAAAAAAAGAAATTTAAGTAAGATTTAAGATATAAAAAATAATAGCTAAAGAAGTAATAATCTCTTATATTAATTAATTTAAAAAACTTTAATAAAAAAGATATAGAGATTATATTTTATTAGTCGAGTATTCTTATTAATAGCCTTTATTAAAATTTACGCTATATCTTTATTATAAATTATATAAAAAATATAGAATTAAATAAATAATATCTTAATATCTTAAATTTTTATAATATTAATAATTAAGATAAATAAAATAATTAATATTAATATTTTAAAGCGAAGTTTAGATAAAGTATTATAATCTTTTTTATTAAATTTAAAAAAATTAATTATATATAAAATTATTATAAATCTATTATATATAAAATTATTATAAAATTATTATATATAATATTATTAAAATAAAAGTAAATAAAGATATCTTAAATTTATATTAAATTATCTAAAAAATAATTAATAAATTAAATAATATATTTAAAATATATAATAAAATTATTAAATTAAATATTAAGATATTTAATTTTAAATTTAATATAAGAGTAATAAATAAGAAGAAATTATTTAAGAATTTTTATATATAATTCTCTATAACTATTACTTTCTTAGAATTTATTAATATTTATAAAATATTTAATCTAAAATAATTAATCTTTATATATTTAAAATATTAGATTTTAAAATAATCTTTTAATACTTTTTAAGAATTAATTATTTTTCTATAAATATTAGATATAAATCTTTAAGTTATTAATAATATACGAGTAAAGGCCTATGAATTAAATTCATAATCATTTTTTTTAATCAGGGCTGTCGAGTAAATTTGGTGAGCGATCTTTGATAAGCGATATTTGAATTCCTTGCGCTTTAATAATTATAAGACTAAATTTAGAAATTCTTTTTTTATCTGAAAGCCCATATCTCGTTCTACAATTTAAAAAAAAATCTTAAAGATTTAATAGAAAACAAAAAAGTTATTCTATGTGTCAATAACGTATATCTATTATTTTTTAATCAGGGCTGTCCGGCTGTCGAGCGAACTTTGGTGAGCGATATTTGAATTCCTTGCGCTTTAATAATTATAAGACTAAATTTAGAAATTCTTTTTTTTTCTGAAAGCCCACATTTCGTTCTATAATTTAAAGAAAAAATCTTAAAGTTTTAATAGAAAATAAAAAAGTTATTCTATGTGTTAATAATGTACACCTATTTTTTTGATAAGGGAGCCCGGGAGGGCTAGAGATTTTGATAATTACGGACGCTAATTTATTTACCCGCGGTGACTTAGCCGGTCTAGTCAAAAGGCGTAATAACCTCGAATTTATAATTGGCTGCATATACAAATTCAAGGTTTTCTAGTTTAGCTCTATCTTATTCTTTTATATATACTAATTAAATTTAAAAAGTAAAAAAGAAATTAATAAAATTAATAAGAATTTTATTTTCTCGAATAATTAGCGTAATTCTTTCTTTATTAAAAGAAATAATAATATTATTATTAAAAATTTCTATATATAAAAATATAAGTATTTTAAATTATTAGTAAATAGAATTTAAAAAGAAAATAGATATTTTAAGTATTTAAAGATTAGATATTATTTTAATAATAATAATATTTTATATAAAAATATAAATCTATTAATAAAAGAATAAGTTAATATAATTTTAAAAGTTATTAATATTAAAAAGAATATTCTTATTAAATTATTATAAAAATTAAAAAATTAAATATTTTTAATTAAGTTATTATTAGAGATTTAGAAGTTTTATATATAAAAATTAAAGAGTTAGAAATAAAAAGAATACTCGCTTCTATCTCTTTATTTATATATATTATTATTATTAAAATTTCTTTATAAAATAAATATTAATTAAACTTTTATAGAAAAATTATTATATTAATAAAATAGATTAAGATTAATTATTTTTTAAATATTAAAGCTTTAATATTAAGCTTTATAAATATATTATTTATTAAAATAAATAAGTTATTTAAAATAATATTAATATAACTTTATAGATTATAACTAATTAATAATAAATCTATATTTATTTTTAATATTATATATATAATCTTAATAAAATTTATTTTAAAAGATTATATAGAAGAATTTTAATATTTAATTATTTTATTAAAATAATTTAATATTATTTTAAAAATACTATAGCTAAAATAGTATAATTCTTATATATTTTTTAAATTTAAAATTATTATATTTAATTTAGATTATTATATATCTAACTATTTATTATATAATAAACTTATTACTATTTAAAGTAATAATAAATTTTTAAAAAAAAATTTAAATTATATAATAAAGATTATATTTAAAAAAAAAAATATAATAAAAATTTTTATTTATATTTTTATTAAAATAATTAAAAAATTAGAGAATTAAATTATTATTATATAGCTTTAAGATTTTAAATAATTTTTTAACTTTATTAATAAGAAAGTAAAGTTTATTATTAATATTATTATTATTATAATAGAAAATTATAAAAAATTCTTTTATAAATTAAAAAAAAAATCTTTAATTATAAAATAGTTATAGAAATAAATTTTTATAATATATTATAAATAGTTAGATATTTAAAATCTTATTAAAATTAATAAATTTCTCTTTTATCGCTTTATTAATTATAAAATATATTTTAAAAAAAAAAAAATTTATTATTAAAAAGAATTTATAAGCTTTTTAAAGATTAGATATTAATTATAAAGAAATATATTAATAAAATATTAAAGAAAAAATTATATTAGATTAAATTTTTTTTTTATATAGTATTTATTTTAATTATAAAGAAACTTAATAGAGAATTTAGACTATATATAAACTATAGAATTTTTAATATACTTATTATCTCTAATTAAAATACTTTTTTATTAATTAAAAAGATTTTCGCTAAATTATATATAATAAGAATATATAATAAATTTAATATTATAATTACTTTTAATAAAATTAGAGTAAAAAAGAGTTATAAAAAAAATTATATTTCTTATTTAATATAGTTTATTTAAATATATAATAATATCTTTTAAATTATATAATATCTTTATTACTTTTTAAATATTTATTAATAATATTTTATATAAATATCTAAATATATTCTATATTATTTATTTAGATAATATTCTTATTTATAATAATATTAAAAATAAATATATTTAATATATAAAAAAGATATTAAAGAAATTTTAATAAGCTAATCTTTATTTTAATATTAATAAATATAATTTTTATAT